TTCACTTTCGAAACAATGAGTAAAGCATGAGAAAAGTGAATATAATGATTCATTTGAAAATAAAAGTCTAGGAATAATTTTCACACATCTTTTCCATGCCAAATCATTCCGACAAGCTTGAGATTACATCGAGTAATCGCATTAGTATCGACTTTGAAATGTCCAGAGAAAGGACAGTTTGAGATGAAAAATGAATTTCCAGAAAGAATTAAAAGTCGATGCGAAAAATCTGTTTCAACATTTTCCTTTTGCAACATTTCATGATAAAGTTACTTCCAAGTGAAAATATCAAGTTTCTTATTTTTGTTCTGAATTTCGGTCGAACCGCGAAATTACAAATTTTCCAAATTTTTCAAAAGACGTTATGGAAATATGCTAATCTGAATCACGAAAAGTCGAAATTTTGTGTCTTTCGAGATTCAATTTTGCTATTAATTTTGATTAATTGAAATGAGAAAATCACTTTCAATAGTTTAATGATCAATCTTGAATCCAAGATGAGCTTAGAAAAGATGAAATTTAATGATTTAAATGACTTGGAAGAAGCAAAATCTTTCAAAAATTGCAAATTTTTCATCATCCAACTTTGGCTCATTGAACCATTAAAACGACAAGATGCTCATTCGTCAAAACACTGGGAGTGAAAAGATAAAATTTCCTCCCAGAAAAACTGTGCAGCTAAACTTTCATTAATAACAAAGGCAACAACAAAATACTTGAGCTTTTTTTATTCTTCTTCTACTTTTTTTAACTCTATTCTTCCCCCTCAAGCATAGTCTAAATTTCTTTGATGAACATTTTCTTTTCTCTTGTTACTCGTTTCAAGAAAATGTTTAAACTTGAAAAATACATGATCAAGAGAAGAGGGAAAAAAAGGAAAATCAGTCAACAACAATTTATCCGTTACACCAAAAAATATTACTGCTCTTAGTGATAATAATGTTGATACTGATTATTGTACTAACTAAATTTATCAACCTTACGGATGGTTGAATAAACTTGTAGTTTATTATTATTATTATTACAACGTTCACTTCTTTTTTCCCTCTTTTTTTCAATTCAACCGATGAATAAACATGAACATTTTCAACTTTTTTTGCTCTTCATGATAATGATGGTTCAAGGTATAAAAAGAATGGCAAGAAGATGAACTGCTTTGTTCTATTTTCAGTCTCACTTTTCAATTAGTCAATTTTGAACTTGAAATTTTGTTGAACCAAAAAAAATTTTCATTAACTCATCATTTAAACGATTCATCAACAAAATGATTTGCATTTAAAATTAAGTGAAGATGGATTTTCATTCTTAAAGATATCGATCATTGAGTTTTTTAGAATCCTTCAATTTTGATAGACGCCTTTCTATTCCTTCAATAAAAAATTGATGTTAAATATTCTTTTTAGTCACCTAAACTAAAAGTTGTTAACCGGCGTGAAGATAAGCGAGAAAGCAAAGACAATTGTATAGAACCTCCTTCGAGAATCAGCCAAGAACGAAACAAATCTGAGGCTTTCTTTCAAATACTGAGTTTCTGCCTTCAGTTCGTCTTTGACAAGAGTTTACATAATGGTGTCTCTCGGAAATAATTTTTAGTGAGCTTTTACGGCTATTAATTTGCAATTCTGATCTGTTTCCAGTATCAGAAAATATATTATTTAGCAAAAAAATCATGGATCTTGAATTGTAGCTCTTTAGAACTCGAAAAACTTGGCTACGAGCAGACGATTAATCGGTAAAATTTGATTTCATTAAGATTTATTCTCATTGTATTTATTCTCCGATGGACGATTTTTGTCAGCTATCAATCTTATCGGATAAACTCTAAAATGAAGTTTTAAATGCTAAGTCAAACGAACGTCAACACTCTTGGCTTCACTTTTGGTGTTTGAATGTTTTATTTAACAAAATAATGATTCAAATTTGTTGAACTAATAGTTGGAAAAAGAGAGGAAAATTGGTTAACAATGCAATATTCATGAGAATTTCATGGAATGAGATTTTATCGCAAGTTCAATCTTTTTCTTCTTAATTCAATCAAAGCTAGACATGAAGCTATTAAATGGAAAAACTTTACAAATATTTTTCATTAAAACACTGGAAGTGGTAAAAAATGGAGTAAATGAAGCTTGAATTTATGGATAAACAATCGAGTTTTAATTGACTCGAATTTTTCTGTATTTTTCAATTTACTCTTTTCTTTGAAGGAAATTGCTTTTTTCCAACATGAAATACTGTCACTGAGTTGCTGTTAAAAGATGAAAATTCATGCTTCTTGTTCAAGAGTAACATTTCGTTGAATCACTATGCAAGGGAAGAGTTTACTCATTTCAAGAGATAAACTATTCTGTTAGCATTTTCTTGGCTCGGATGAAAGTATGGAAACATTTCATTTAATCATTTTCTTTTGGCTTTCATTCCATTCTGGCTGAAGATTACAGTGGGCAAAATGAAAACTTGACCCAAATTTTACAGAAGCTTCAACAAAAAGCACCTTAAACATGAACGCTAACCCAGTAATGGAAGTAAAAAGGTAAAGATTTGCAATTTTATTCGAGTAGATGAATCAGAAGTTGAACATTTGGCTACACCTTTTCATCTCAACCTTTTTGACATTCATAGTTGGTTTCATGATCAACTCTCAACCCTATCATTAATCAAAGTGAAACCTGCAAATTTAGTTGAATCGATAACGATCCAAGTAAAAGAAAGATGTTGATGAAAATAAAAAAGTAAAGTTGAAAGGGAAGGTAATAATAAAAAAGAGAATGCACAATGTAGAAAAAGAATATCATTAACTTTTTCGTTAATCCTTTTCATCTTCTATTCACGACGAAATTCTGTTACATTTTGTCTTTCGCATCGTTAGAGATTTCAAAATGTTAGCAATTATGTCACAGGGAATGAACGACAAAATGTAACAAGAAATGCTAATTGATTGAGCAACAACAAAAATTGTCATTCGACTTCGAAAAACTTCGAAAAGAAAAACTCAGTGTTTTTCATCAACCCTTTCGAATTGAAAATTTTTCGAAACTCAACTTTGGAGAATTTTAACGACTGTAGAATTTTAAGTTCTAAAAGCGAACTTTTCCTTCATCGAATGTAGTCATTATCGAATTTTTCAAATCACAAAAATACAGTAGGTCTCAAAAATAACCAACCAGGGTTAACTTTTTAATGGAAGATGATAATTGAAAAATTTTTGGGAAATTATTATTAAATTATCAGTTGAGTTTGCAGCCATAGAAAAAAAATTTCTAATCAGTTGATGTATCAATTTTTTACGACAATTTCGTCTTAAAAATAAGCATCGAAAAACGCTAAATGAAACTTTGCAGCATTTTTTGAATATGATCTCGAATTTAATTAAGCGAAAGTACCTAAGGTATCCAATTTTTTCGATGATAAGGTCAAAGTTTGAGAGAAAATGTACCTAAATAACAAGAAATTGATCGATAAAAAGCCAAATTAATGACCTGAGGTCACAAAAAGCGAAAAAGACGCTGAAAAATAGTGGATTTTACTTTGTCGAAAATTAATCACTTAATTATGATAAATGGTGATTATACCCTATTCCGATAGTTCTATTTAGTCTATTCTACATGAAAAATAAGTATTTCATGAGATTACTTTTCATTTAAAAAAGTTAACTATGGTTGGTTATTTTTGCGACGTACTGTATGTCTAAACTTTGAAATTATCTCATTCCAAGTTTGAATCATTGCTCCAGTTTCTAGAATTTCCCTTTTTTTAAAACAAATAACTTTTGTAAAACGATATTGAATCAGGATTGGAGCATGCGAATGCTTGATTGGGAATTGAATGTTCAGTGAATTATTCCAATGATTCGAAAAGAATTGAATTGCAATTTGAACTCGAGTTTGAAAATCAATTGAGAATAGAAGTTGTGTGAAAAGCAGCGAAAATGGTAAACTTGATGTTAACCTTTTCCACTCTCTGATTGAATTGAAGATATGTAATACATGAACAGTCAACATGTTTTCATGTATCAACTTCCTGCAAGATGAAATGATGAACAGGGAGGGATGAATGTATTGAGAGAGAATCTGTGATGAAACTGTGTAAAGGAAAAAATTGTCTTTCGTTTTATTAACACTTGACATAAACACTAGTGGAGACGCTCTTCTATTCAGATTAAATGTATTAATGTTGTTGTTGTTTTATTCGCTTCTTTTCTTGTTTTCTCTCAGAACTTTTCTCTTGATATACTGTCACTCTTATCAGATTTCATTGTAACTTTCATGTCAAGATGATAACAATGAAACCCTTCATCAACTTTATTATCACCAAACATCATCTGTTTATCATTTTGTTTTTACTCGTTCACTAGACGTTATTATCATCATCATGATCGTCATAAACATGCCCCAATTGTCAAGAGATGATGAAATCGAACAATCTTTTTTACTCTTTTCTCAGCATCTTTTTTCTTCTCCTATCGGCAAAGGGAGAAAGCGAGACTCAACAAGAGATTATTGCAACGATTGAAAATCAATTCTTTCAATTTTCTCATCAACATTTAACGAATGAATTGGAGCAAATTTGCATTCCCATGAGAAGAGAAAACAAAAGAATTTCGAAATTTGCAAAAGTATTCTTCTTCAAATTCCCATTCATCGCCTCGTTGAGCTTATAATGAATGAAATTAAATATTTCGCAAGACTTCTAGTCAGTCTATCGAATCGCAAGAATCTTTTATTATGATAAAACAGCTTGGATTGTTGATTAAACTCGAAGCTGTTTATCCTTCAGATTTACTTGTTTATTTCAAGGGAAAAATTGATCTCGAACTTCAAATATTAACAATTCAAAATGCAATTTTAAATCAAAGATGATTGTTGTTCACAGAATGAATCAGTTTCTGTTAAATCTTCAACAGTTTTAGCAAATTTTCATGTCTTACGGTCAAATAGTTGATTAAATTTCCTCTCACGAAAACAATTTTCGACTAACAAAATTTTTCTTTTCCACTTGAACAGCCTCACTTAGCTATACCGCTGTTGTCCGTGGTAAGGCAGCCTTACCCTGTCATGTAACCACATCGACTCCCGATGACTCGGTGGCTCTCATCTTGTGGTACAAGGACGATGCTTTAGCACCAATTTATACCTTAGACGCTCGTAAAGGTAAGCAAAGACCTATTTCCATTGAATTAACCAAACAGAAAAAAACTCAACAATTGACTAATTAATCACCATGGAATTCAATTTCCTTTGGAGATGAAAAAAAAGTTTAGTTCCTCTCATCATGATTGTTTCCTAGGAACATTGAAAATTAAAAATTTTCCCCAACCAACATTATCTTAGGACAAAAGACAACAGCAAAAACATGACTTTCAACTACAAAACTATTGATTAAACTCGTTGAATCGTTCAACTTGCAAATGTCCAATATCGAGTAAACCTTACCCTTAGACTTGTTTAATCAAAATGAACTTTCCTCAATTAGCTCACAATCGAAGTAAATTGTTTCTCTATGCACTATAATTTGATTCCTGGTTGACTTAATCAACTTAAATTGTATTGATTAACTTTTCCCTGAATCTTCCATGTACATTAACCTTTACGTCTTTCTCAATCAAATTCAATCAATGATTAATTTGCCCTGCAAAAAAAGAGAGAAAACAGAAGAAGCAAAAGAATGGGCAAAAAAAAGTGAAAACTTGATGTAAATTAAGGTAGACAACAAGACAACAAGAGTGCAAGATTGAAAGACAAATAATTGGTGGAAATAAATTAACTGAAAAGATTAAAGGATAATTAGTAATAAAATACAAAAATGGCTTAAGCAAAGGTAAGAAAAAAGTTGAAGCGCGCAAAGCGTAACAAAAAACTTTGCATCCCTTAATCATAGTGTGTGTGTGTGTGTTGAGCATAATTAAATATGTACACAATTAAATGAGTCATCATCACCAGCACTTGATTATGTGTCAAAATGATTAGCATGATTAATATAATAATCAAGGAATTGAGTGAAGAAGAGAAAGGTGAATAAAGAAGGAATAATTATATTGAAAGAGAGAAGAAGAAAAACATTAAACTTATACTGGGAGTGTAGGCATAACCAGGGAGTGAAGGTGAAACTTGGTGGGTTAAAGAGCACACAAGAGTGGCTAAGCACTTTGTTTCATTGTGTGCATGTTATACTATTAGCTAATTAATCAACAATTTTTAATGAGCTTCAGTGTAAAAGATGAATGCAAACAAAGTGAAAAAGTAAAATTAATGAATAAATGTCAAACCAGAAACATTGAATCAACAAATTAATCAGATAAATTTTTGTTAACTTTTCTCTTCTTTTTTTGCCGCATCTCTTGCCAACAGTTAGCTTGGAGTAACCAAGGGTTACATTTAATTGTAAAACAATGCTTTTAATATTAATGGCAATAATGATGATAATGATGATAATTTTGATGATAATAGTGATAATAATTATGGTAACGTTAAACGATGATAATGAAAATTGGATGAAAAAAGTTGATTGGATAACTTTGGATGAATCAGTTATTTAAATGGATTGATAATCTAAATGAATATCTTTTCTCTCTGTGAATATTTCTTCATCCGTTTACTTTTTTTTGCATCCAATTCTTGTGAGATAATTAATTTTGTAACAAAATACCAGATTATTGCAGCTTTTATAATTGTCTTGCAGCATTTCCAAATGAATCAATTTCATTTTTACCTTTTTTCTCATCAAAAAGTGCCACATTTACCATTTCTTTCATTTATACATAATTTCAATGCCTTTTGCTCAATTATAAATGAGCGGTGAAAGATTTAATTGATTTTTCCTTTCAGGTTTTATTTGGTTCGAAATCTTTGATGTTATTGATATTCGCGTTTCTTTGAATTTCTATTGATCAAATAAAGTTATTAGTTATTAGTAAGTTGAGTAAAAGTTGGTAAAAAACAAAAAGTAATGACTGGTTTGGATGATTGACTAGCGCGCTATAAATAGTGTTGAAACCATTTGGCTGGTTTTCCGTTTTTATTGTCTTTCTAGAAGTTCATATGTTTCGGTTCGCTTGAATAGCTAGCAATAATGAAGTAGCGTTATATGATTTAAACAAAGAACATTATTGCGATCATTTGTTCCAGTGAAATTCAAGGACATTTGCGTGTCGGTTACTCAGCAGATTGTCAATATCATAGCACTGAGAGATAGAGAATCAGGACTGAGTTAAAACTTAGTCAGTTAATTTCAGAATGCAATACTCAACTGAAGACCACTACTCGAGTTGTTGGCACATGAGTTAAAAGTGTGTATTTAACAAGCCCTTTGGTTCTTCATAGAAAGCCGTGCCGGAGAAGCTTGTACTTATCTAAATTTTCGACTCGAAAATTTTTAGATGCAGAGCCGATTGAAAGACGAAAGTAAAAGACTTTAAATAATTGTCGGAATATTTAAACTTGCTCGCAGTCGCACACTGTAAGTAAACACTCAAATTAAAATTATTCAATTTCTTCAGAACTAAATGTTATATCATTTCGTTTAAAGTAACGAACTCGGAAATCGTTGCAATTAGTTTGTCATAAATCAAGCTGACCATAACATCAATCAATTGAAGAATTATTTTATTCCATGATTGACATTATCGATCATTTTCTTGCTTCTCTTCCTTTAACCAAATTCATTGAAATAAATTCTTGTTTTACTTCATTTCGCTTCTTTTCTCTTCTCTTCGTATTTTGATAAATTCAATTTTCATTCATTCAACTCGGTATCCATTATTAATATGGTTTTTATTTTCGTTTCATTGTTCAATTCTCATGTATAGTTCATGTTCAGTAGTGCTACTCTACCAAATAACGAGAGTAAAACAGAGAGAAAAAAAGTGAAGAAAAAAGGAAAAGAAAAAAAAGAGGAGAAAATTAATCAATGATCCTTAAAACAAATGGAAAACTGAATTTATCTTTCTCTTTATTCGTTCGCCTTCCATGATAATTTATTAAGAACATTATTAGTAACATTATGAGAACATCATTTTCGTCTGAACTTATCTTGTTCAAAAGCAGTAAAAACATAAAGTTCATCATCATCATAATCATCATCATGAGTTAGTTTCAGATTCTTCTATGTGAACTGAATTCTCAAAATCATTCTCAGAATCATTTTCATGCAACTGTTTTAAACCTTAAATTGGCTTGAATTATGAGTGCATATTTTTTCCTCTTTCATCCACTTTCTCAACATTTTTCAACATTTCAGACAATTTCTTCTTCTTCACTTCACAATTTCACCGTCATTATTTTCATCAACTTTTGCTCAATTGAAATTTGTGAAGCAAAAAAACATTTCAAACCAATTTGCAAGATAATCCAAAAAGTCGAAATAAAACGCAAGAAAAAAATTCCCGCCAATTCCTGCTCAGCTAATCTGGCGAAGAAAAAAGTTGATAAAATTGACAAAAATGATTACAATTTAAACTCGAAACAAAAACGAAACTCTAAACTTGATACTTTTTCGAAGCGAAAGCAAACTCGCCAAGGTAAACAAATGATTACATTGATAATAACAAGGTATTAAATCAAATTAAACCAATTATTCAACTCATTATCATGCAAAAGTTTACGTTAATTCACTAGAGATCAGTCTAGCCCAAAACAGGCAAAAGAGTGCTCTTGTTTCCTTTTCCAACAAATCATTTGTTTCACATTGCATTCAAAAATGAATCGTATCTTTGCATCTTCAGAGCTTGCTTTCAATCATGTTTTGCCTCCCTGTTAACCTGAGCTTATACCATCTTCTTTATCCAATTTTGATCCTCCGGTTTCTCCTTTTCTGGTTCCATCTCTTTCTATCATCTTTTTTTCTCTCTTTTCTCAATTTTTCCATTTCTTTTCCTTGCTCTTTCCTACTTGACAGGCAACAGGAAGATGAATAACTTGTATTTATTTAGCATTTATTGTTAATACTTTTCAAGGTAACCCAAAGCTTTATCTCACTCCCAGCTTACCTTTATCATTTTACCATTTGATTCCAATTCATGATTCAAGTAACCATATTTATATCCTTTTTCCACGTTTTCTCTTCCTTGTTTGCTATCATTCTCATATTGACTCACTTGTTCGAGTTTACCTTTTTCACGATATTTTTGACATTTAACTTCTTTTTATCCTTCAAATTTACCGTCAAATTCCCATGAGAAATTGAGTTTTTCTGTTTTCTTTTTTCTCTCGTCTTCTCTTTACCTTTTTTTTCCTTCTTGGACAAATTTTTGCAGCTTGAAATGGAGTAAAGGTGAATTAGGAATGAGATGATAATGATGAAAGAAAAACAAGGCGAATTAAAGGGAAAGATGAAAGAAAGGAAAAGATGCTGAAAATGCTAAACAAGTTCGAAGAGTTTACTTTTTTCTTTTTCTTTCACCAACACTGGCTTTCCAATGGTTTGCTTGATAATCAGATTTAAAGTGAATTAAAGCCAGTCTTCTGTTCATTTTGTTTTTCTGCTCTCCTTTAATGGCTATCAAAGTATCTTTCAATTGCTCTTTCATTTTTTCTTTTCTCTTCTTCTTCTTCTTCCCTTTGCTTCTTTTACTCTGACTTGAAATGGCAAATATCTTTAGCCAACCTAATCATCATCATAACATGTATCATTACCAATCGACCTCTGGTGGCTATTATCAATGATGATAATGATAATGATGATGATGCTCGAGTCAAATGAAGAAACATAATAAAGCAAAGTTAACTTTACTCGGTGTAATATCAGCTAATTAAAGATATGATTAAAGTTTTGCTTTTCTTGTTTCAACGAAAGGCAACTTTAAATGACTGCAAGTTGAGCATTGAAACCAAGTTGTTTAATGGATGTTAAGGGTTGATATGGAGTGATTGAGGTAGAAAGGGAAGAACAAGGTTGCAAAAGAATGTTTCCTTTTCTTCTTCCTCTTCTTCTTCTCTTGAAATGCATCTACAGAAGGGGAATATGTTTATCTCTCTTTATCTTCATCTTCTCCCGTCTCTTCTTCTCTCTTTACCTCTGTTGATATTGAGATATAATGGATAGAAAATCCCTTCAATTTTCATCAACTTTTAAAAGATATCTTTTACTCTTAAATTGAAGATAAAGGATAACAGGAATAGGTTGATGGATTGGGTGAAATGGGTAAATGAAATAG